ATGATAACCTCTCAGTAGCTGTACTGCAAACCATAATGCCTGAAAGCGGGGTGGGAGGGGGAGAAAGAGGGAAGGGAAGTGGGGGGGAGAGCGAACCAGTGCCATAACAGCAGCCTGGGATAGTGTGGTGGTGGCGGCAGGAGGGAAGCTGGGAACATAGGTGGTGGGAAATGTTCACTGGTGGAGGGATGGGTGTTGGAACATTATATGGCTGAAACCGGAACAGGAACAACTTTGTAACTATGTATCTCATGGTGATTCAATGAAAGTAAAAAATAATAGCAAAGTTCATGGAAATAGAAAAGAAGTAGCGATTAATTATTAACAGCACTGTAGCACTGTCCTCCCGTTGGTCAATTTGCTCCAGCAGGCACCAGTAACATTTCCATTATGAGACTTGTTGTTACTGTTTTTGGCATATCAAATACCCCATAGTAGCTTGCCAGGCTCTGCCATGAGGGCAGAATACTCTCGGTAGCTTGCTGGACTCTCAGACAGAGAAAACAAACCTGGATTGGCCGCATGCAAGGCAAATGCCTTACCTGCTGTGCTATTGCTCCAGCCCTAATTACTGATAACTATTATTATTCTTATATCTCTATTTCTCAGAGTTAATATCTTTAGAAAAGAGATTTCCCAGAGATAGATAAATGGGACTATCTTAAACTAAGAAGCTTCTGCACCTCCAAAGAAACAGTGACCAAAATACAAAGACAGTCTACAGAATGGGAAAGGATATTCGCCAAATACACATCTGACAAGCGGTTGATATCCAGAATATACAAAATACTGGTTAAACTCCACAAGAAGAAAACATCCAACCCCATCCAAAAATGGGGCAATGAAATGAACAGAAACTTTCTCAAAGAAGAAATCCGAATGGCAAAAAAGCACATGAGAAAATGCTCTACATCATTAATCATCAGGGAGATGCAGATCAAAACAACAATGAGATACCATCTCACACCTCAGAGACTGGCCCACATTAAAAAGAACAAAAGCAACTGATGCTGGCGTGGATGTGGCGAGAAAGGGACACACTCCTTCACTGTTGGTGGGAATGTCGACTGGTTCAGCCCTTCTGGAAAACAGTATGGACGATTCTCAAAAAATTAGAAATTGAGCTCCCATTTGACCCAGCAATACCACTCCTGGGAATATATCCCAGAGAGGCAAAAATGTATAGTCGAAGTGACATCTGCACTTGTTTGTTCATTGCAGCACTCTTTACAATAGCCAGAAACTGGAAGAAACCTGAGTGCCCAAGAACAGATGACTTGTTAAAGAAACTTTGGTACATCTACACAATGGAGTACTATGTAGCTGTTAGAAAAGATGAAGTCATGAAATTTACATACAAGTGGTACAACATGGGAAGTATCATGCTAAGCGAAATGAGTCAGAAAGAAAGGGATAGACATAGAAAGATTGCATTCATCTGGGGGATATAAAGTAACAAAGTATGAGATTAATACCCAAGAATAGCTGAGATCAGCACCAGGAGGATTATTCCACAACTTAGAGGCCAGCCGGGTATTCTAGGGGAAAGGGCAGTTCAGATAGAGAAGGGAGCACCAAATAAAGGGTGTTAGGAGGATCCTCCCAGGAGGGGAGATGCATGTCGAAAGTAGACTATGGACTGAACATGTTTGCCACTCAATGCCTCTTTTGCAGACCACAACACCCAAAAGGAGAGAGAGAACACGGGATTGCCCTGCCACAGAGACGGGGTGGGGGGGGGGGGGGGATGAGGGTGGGGGGGATATTATCCATGGTGGTGGAAAATGGGCACTGGTGGAGGGATGGGTATCTGATCATTGTATAATCGAAACCCAAGCACAAAAAATAGTAAATTTACAACTGTCCCTCATGGTGTTTCACTAATAAAAAAAATAAAAAATAAAATAAAAAATTTCGAAATTTCAAAATCACATGGCCCTATTGCTGGCACCTGACATCATATGTTATTCATAACCAGCAATAGAACACAAATTGTCTACTGTTGCCTTTTCAGCAGATCTTAGTGTTGGGGTGAAATCCCAAATAATAATGGTGGGCCTGGTGCTGAAATATTGAATGTAATCAAAGTAGAGAGAGAGTAATGTAGAAATCATCTGCCCCACAGGTAGGGGGAGGGTGTGGGATGGAGGTATACTGGGGTTTTCGGTGGTGGAGAATGGGCATTGGTGAAGGTACGGGTGTTTCATTGTATGACCGAGACTTAGGCCCAAAAGCTTTGTAACTGCTCTCACGGTGATTCAATAAATAAAACTATTAAAAATGAAAAAAAAAAAGAAAAGAAAAGAGGTTTCCTAGGATTGGGGGAGGGGGGAATGGCCTTTCTTTTCAGAAAATTCTAATTTTGAACACCCACGATGATAATATTCTGCTTGTTCTCACAACAGTATTCCTGTAGGAAGCTAATCCTGATTTGCTCAAGTAGCCCACCTTTGCACTGAGGTGACATTCAGGTGGAAGCCCAGGCTGTGTCTCCAGGCGTTTCCCCTAGCAGGCTCCCAGCTCCCAGCATGGGTGTGGCCACACAGCTATCTGGAGACCCACCCGTTTCCTGGAACTCACTTCCTGCCCAAAAGACACCTTCCACCAAAGATCTTTCTCGGTAGTGAAAATTGGCCTGCTCCTAAAATTCCTCTTTTCTTGTTGTGTGTTAGGCCACGGGAAAATACAGTGAAAAGAAAGAAGCATGACATTACTTAGGTAACCCACAGTAAACCAGACGCATTGACCTACTCATAATAATATCCTCGCATAACTTGAATACCGTTTAATCACTTAATCACTTAAATACCCGTTAGTCGTCGATTGATTTGCTCGAGCGGGCGCCAGTAACGTCTCCATTCGTCCCTGTCGCGTGCCAGTGTAGCCCAATGGCATCTGTTCGCTCTGGGAACATGAAGAGCCTCAAACCGATCATTCATGATCTTGATGAAGAAGTCTGACCATCTGGTAGGTGGGCGGCCACGCGGTCTTTTGGCATCCCGTGGAATCCAGTCGGTAACAGCTCTAGTCCAGCGGTCGTCTTTAAATCTCATTACGTGACCAGCCCATCTGATTTTCGACACCTTGGCAAATGAGACAGCGTCCCTGATCCTTGATCGTCGACGGATGTCAGAACTCCGGATTCTTTCTCTCATTTGAGTGAAACGTGATATTCCAAGCATAGCTCTATTCTTCTTTGGGAGACCTGAATAGCCTTCTCATCTTGTTTGCGTAGGGCCCAGGTCTCTGAGGCATATGTTAATGCAGGAAGAACAGTGGAATCAAAGAGATGTGCCCGGAGACGGAGGTTCTTCGTCCTCTTAGCTATTTCTTCGACGTTCTTGAAGGCGTTCCAAGCTGCTCTCTTCCTCCTGCGCAGCTCGGGTGCCAGGTCATTTGTCATGTTGACCTCTCGACCTAGGTACACATAGCTGTTGCATTCAGAGATGGTCGTTCCATTGAGAGCGAATGGGGCGTCAGGAACGAGGCTGTTTCTCATAAACATTGTCTTCGTAAGATTCAGCTGTAGTCCTACCTTTCCACACTCACGGTCAAAGTCGGCCAGCATTTGTGCCGCTTGGCTGATGTTTGGTGTTATTAAAACAATGTCATCAGCAAAGCGGAGGTGGTGTAGTTGCCGACCATCTATCTTCACTCCCATTCCTTCCCATTCCAGTTGTCGTATGATGTTCTCGAGGGTGGCACTGAAGAGTTTTGGTGAAATGGTATCACCCTGCCGCACCCCTCTCTTGACATCAACGATCACTTCTTTGTAGAATGGTGAGATCCTGGTAGTGAATCCGCAATACAGCTCACGGAGGATCCTGATGTATTGGGCTTGAATGCCCTGATTGGCTAGGGCTTCAATGACCGCTTCCGTCTCAACAGAATCAAAGGCCTTCTTTAAATCAATGAACGTTAAACAGAGCGGCATCTTAAACTCCCGAGAAACCTCAATGAGCTTGGTTATCGTGTGGATATGGTCGATGGTGCTGAATCCTTTGCGGAACCCTGCTTGCTCGCATGGTTGTCCTTCATCTAGTGTTCTGCCAATCCTATTCAGGATGACTCGAGTGAACAACTTGTAGATGACAGACAATAGGCAGATGGGGCGATAGTTGCCAATGTCATGGATGTCTTCCTTCTTGAACAGTAGTACGGTCCTGCTGGTTTTCCATTGGGACGGAACCTTGCATTCAGACAGGTAGCGAGTGAAGAGCCAAGCCAGTGTATTGATGAGTACTGACGGCAGGTTCTTCAGGTGTTCAGGTCTGACCTTGTCTGGGCCGGGTGCTGTTTGTTTCTTTACCGACGAAATGGCGTGTCGGATTTCGGAAGGGAGAACGTTGGGAACGACATATCCATCCTGTGGAATTTGGTATGTCGGCAAGTGGACATGGCTATCGAAGAGATTTGAGTAGAAGTCATGGATAATCTTCTCCATTGCTGTTCTGGAGGATGTGATGGATCCATCAGGACATCGGAGGGCAGTCATCTTGGTCTTGTAGTTGGCGAAGGACAGGCGGGCGTTACCCAACAGCACTGAGTGCAAGAGAGGAGGGGGACGGTGACAGAGTGGCAGAGTCCATGTGGCATCTTATCTAAAGCTTAGGGGGCTGGGGTAATAGTATGGCAGGTAGGATGTTACCCTTGCATGCAGCCAGTGTAGGTTTGATCCACAGCACCATGTGTGATCTCGTGAGACCTTCCAGTAGTGATTCTTGAGCGAAGACCCAGGAATAAGCCCTGAGCACCAACTACTAATAGTATCAGACAGTGACAAATTCTTGGTCTTGGATTATAAAAATCAGACTACAAAGTGGGGTGGGAGGTATGATATGACATGCGGGGTGGAGAGTCTTGGCCTAGTGGTGTGTGGCTTTGCCAGTACCGTGTGTTTCAGCCGTGTGCAGCCGTGCACCCTAAAAGATAATTAAGGTAATCTGGAGAGCAGTCTTGCTGCAGCCGTCCTTGACAGCTCTCTCTCTCTCTGTCCCCAGGACTGCAGGGCTCTTCAGCCTGATTGACACCTTGTGGCCTCCAGTGGTGCCCAGCCCGAGCTGCGGAAAGGTGAGCCCCGAGGCCGTCCCCAGCGCCCTGGGTAGCACCTCAGTTGCAGTCGGCTTTGTGCCCGGAGCTGGCCTGCAGAGTCCTGCTCTGAGAAACCCAGGCCCCGGTTTGGTGACGCACCCCGCTCTGTTGCAGTGTTCTTCCTCAGACTGGCTGAACATTCTTAACCATGGTCTTTGGGTGCTGTCATAACAATTATGGGGTTGGTTGTTTTCACCACCTCTTCCAGTTCCTTAAAGCCACACTCGGTTACCAGTTAGAGCAGAAACTCCTAAAGCTCAGAAAGTTAATAAATCCATGCGTGTTCATGCTCCCTCGAGGCAGGCCGGAGAGTCCGTTTCTCCCACCTCAGCACGAGTAGCCATGTAGGCCCATTGCACGTAGCTACGTTCTGGCAGCTACATGCAAGAAAACGAACTCAGGCCTCTTTCTAATGCTAGACATGAAGTCAGATCAAAATAGATTGAAAACCTCAATATCGGACCTGAATCCAGAAGGTTCATGGAGTCTGAAAAGGTAGGCAGAACCCTCCATGACACTGAGGCTAAAGGCATCTTCGAAGTTGAAACACCACTGCCCAGGCAAGTGGCAGCAAAGTAAACAAGTGGGACCACATTAAGCTGAACTGCTGCACCTCCAAAGAAAGAGCGACCAGGATACAAAGACAGCCCCCAGACTGGGAAAAATTATTTGTCCATTATCCATCTGATTTGCTCGAGCGGCAGCACAGCGGGTAGGGCGTTCGCCTTACAAGTGGCCAACATGGCCGACCCGAGTTCGATTCCTCCGCCCCTCTCGGAGAGCCCGGCAAGCTACCGAGAGTATTCGATATGCCAGACACAGTAACAACAAAGTCTCCAATGGAGACGTTACTGGGCCCGCTCGAGCAAATCGACGATCAACGGGAGGGCCTTTACCTTTACCTTACCTTTATCCATCTGATAAGGGGTCGATATCAAAGATAGATAAGTCACTGGTAGAACTTTGCCAGAAAACAAAACAAAACAAAAAGTCTAAGTCTAACCCATTCAAAAAATGGGGAGAAGAAATGAACAAAAACTTCCTCAAAGAAGAAATTCAAGTGACCAAAAACACATGCATCAACACTGGAAGATGCAAACCAAAGCAACAAGATATCACCCCACCCCACAGAGACTGACACACCTCAGAAAGCGCAAGAGCAACCAGTGCTGGTTCGGATGGGGGAGAAAGGGAATCCCCGTCATTATTGGTCGGAATGTCAGCTTCCCAGCCTTTCTGGAAAACAGTATGGGCATTCCTCAGAAAGTAGCTCCCGTATGACCCAGCAATATCAGTTGTGGGAATATACCCTCGGGGCCCAAAATGCACAGCAGAAACGTCATCTGCACTCCTATGTTCATTGCCGCACTAGTCACAGTAGCCAGAATCTGGAAACAGCCCGAGTGCCCAAGAACAGACAGTCGGATAAAGAAACTGTGGCACATCTACACAATGGAATACTATGCAGCTGTTAGGAAAAATGAAGTCATGAAATTCCCTTATAAATGGATGGACATGGAGAGTATCATACCGAGTGAAATGAGTCAGAAGGAGCGGGGCAGATAAAGACTGACTGCACTCATTGATGGGGGATAGAAAACTTACTCTGAGACATTACCCAAGGACAGTAGGAAAAAGGGCCTGGAGGGTTGGCTCAGGGCTGCCTCAGGTGGCTCGGAGAGCAGTTAGGAGAGAGAAGGGGCCACTCTGGCAGTTGGAAGTGGCCACTCTGGGCAAGAACTGAGTGCTGAGAGGAGAGAAAGGGATCTGCCCGAGGACCTTTTAGTGCCTGTACTGCAGACCATAATGCCCAAAGGGAGGGAGGGAGGGAGGGAAGGAGGGGGAAGGGAGAGGGAGAGGAGGGGGGGGAGGGGGAGGGAGGAAGGAAGGAAAAGTGCCTTTAAAAGTGGGGTGTTTGGTGGAAGCGGGGAACGGGGGCATTGGTGGTGGGATAGGTACACCCATGAAGGGTGTTGGAACATTGTATCACCGAAACCCTGTGGGCAACAACTTTGTAACTTTGTATCTCACAGTGCTTTTAGGACATTTGCTTTGTAAGCCGCAGAGCCAAGTTCCATCCCAGCTTTCCAGATGGCCCCCCAGCACAGCATAGAGCCGGGGTGACCTGGAGTTACCCTGAGCACCTCAGTGTGCATCGTCTTTATCCTCTGCCCCGTGTGCAGGGGGCAACCCCCCCCCCCACGTTTCCCCTCTGCTCACAGAGGGGCCATGTGACCCCAGGATGAGAAACACTGTTCTATACTATGCCAGCTCCCGTCTTTATGGTCAGAAATACCCATTTCTAGATGACTTAGGAGGAAGGCATTTTGTTTGTTTGTTTCGGGGGCTTTTGGCCCACGCCCAGCATTGGTCAAGGGGTTCTCCCTAGCATTTGCGCAGGATGACTCTTGGCAGCGCTCAGGCGTCCCAACATGGTTCTGGGGACTGACTGCGGTGGGCCACACGTGATGGTACCTTAGCCCTGAGCTTTCTCTCCAGACTTCGTTTGTAAATGGGCTTCCGTTGTACTCTAAAGCTGCATTGCTAAAAGGAAATTGTGAAATGGTAACAAATTCAAAAGCCCAAAACTACTGCTGTTTGAACTGAATCTGTATTTATTTATAAACGATTTTTTTTTTTTTTGCTTTTTGGATCACACCAGGCAATGCACAGGGGTTATTCCTGGCTCTGCACTCAGGAGTTACTCCTGGCAGTGCTCAGGGGACCATTTGGGATGCTGGGAATCGAACCCGGGTTGGCTGCGTGCAAGGCAAACGCCCTACCTGCTGTGCAATCTCTCCAGCCCCAAAGTAGTGTTTCTTATATAGACTTATATAATAATAAAAAAAATCCATGTGTGTCTAGATCTATGTATATTTTTCAGTGCTGGCTATCAAATCCGAGCCTCTCCCACATAGGGCCTGCCCTCCACCACCACCTTATTCCCCACCCCATAGGTAGAAAAGTGTAGATTTCAATAGTATATTGGAGCAATCCATTAATGAGCTGTGCTTACTTTCATTTTGAACAGGCAGAAAGTCATCTGTCTACTCCCAGCTTTTGTTACATCCTGTCTGCTCACCCAAATCTTGGACAAATTGCTGTCATTGAAGAGGACCCCCTGTCTAAACTTTTCCAACCCCCAGTTACCCGCTGCTTAAGAGAAATCCTGCAGGTAATGGTTTGGTTTCTAGTAAGACCTTAAGAAAAATAGCAAAAGTAAGCTAAGTGATGTTTTTCTGCTTTCCCTGTGTATGAAGCTTCTGTATTTTCAATTGTCCTTCTAGACTGGTGGTTTTGGCACCCGCTGCAGTTTCCATGCCAGTGTGATCTATCGAAGAGTTCAGGTAATGCTCCTGCCCTCTCGCTCTCGCCCCTTCTCTTTTTTCCTCATGCCCCTCCCCCCTCTCCCTGCCTCTCTCTTTCCCACTCCCTGTTGGGCTCACTTTCGCTCCCCCCTTTCATGCCTCTTTCCACCACCACCTTTTTCTTTCTTCTCTCATGATAATGTGTATAGTGTTATAAAGTTTGTTAGAGGATGATCTCCTCGTTGTTGTACTATGCAGTTGGCCTAAAGCCTTTTGCTTGTCCCTTGTGGTGCTGTGTGAGCCCTGAGCGTTTTGCTGTGCCGCTGGAGACCACACTCACAGACCCGCGTTCGCATGTGCTTTGCCACGAAGCTGTCCCCAGACCCTAGTAAAGCTTTCTGAAGTTTCGGGTTGGGGGCCACCCCCAGTGATGCTACTCTTTGCTAGGTGCTGGGGGGCCGCTTCTGGCAGTGTTTGCAGGACTGTGTGGTGCCAGGGAATGAACCCAGGCCTCCTGCATGCAAAACAAGCATTCCTGCCTTTTGAACGCCTCCCCTCCAGAGAAACAGTGCTTGATCTGTTTCCACACATGCCCGTGCAGATGCGGCTCAGTGCATTGAGAGCGCTAGGCAGACTTCTCTCCGAAGGACTCTCAGCCCAGTAATAGTTCCTGTCTGATGTGTAGGAAGGTAAAGAAAAGAGAAGGTGGCACCGTCTCTAGGTGGGAAAGGAGCAGTCGCAGTGGTGGCTTATACTTCTCAACCTGAGTCTGCAGCTGTTGAGGAAGCCCCAGGGTCCTGGAGATTTCTAGTGAGGAGAAAGCCGCGGGGAGATTGTTGTTTGCTTCTTTGCCACCGGGCAAGTCATCCCGTAGCAGGGATGGGCGAGGAGTAGCTTTGGGTGGGCAGCAGGTAGGACCGAACCAAGTTTGATCCCCTGCAGCACATGCAATCTCATGAGTCTTGCCAGGAGTGATTCTTGAGAACAGAGCCAGGACTAAACACAGAACACTGCTGGTTGCAGTTCCGAAAGCAAAAACCCAAGAACAGCAAAAAATGAATTAAAAGAATTACTAATGAAATGAGCTTTGAGCCACAGCACAGCGAGTAGGGCGTTCACCTTGCTCGCAGCTGACCCAGCCAACAAGGTTCGGTTCCTCCGCCCCTCTCGGAGAACCCTGGCAAGCTACCAAGAGTATCTTGCCCACACAGCAAAGTCTGGCAAGCTCCCTGTATTTAATATGCCAAACACAGCAACAAGTCTCACAATGGAGATGTTATTGGGCCCGCTCGAGCAAATCGATGAACAACGGGAGGACAGTGACAGTGACTAGTAAAATGTGGGTGTAGAGCACAATAGCCCTGGCAGCAGAGGTCTTAAGGTATCCCAGAGACCTCCCAATACCAGTCCAAGAGTGCCATCTTTTTTTTTTTTTTGCTTTTTGGATCACACCCAGCAATGCACAGGGGTTACTCCTGGTTCATGCCTCAGGAATTACTCCTGGCCGTGCTCAGGGAACCATATGGAATGCTGGGAATTGAACCCGGGTCGGCCATGTGCAAGGCAAACGCCCTACCTTACCTGCAGTGCTATTGCTCCAGCCCCCAGGAGTGCCATCTTAACATCACTACCAAGGTACTTTAGCAGTAAAAGCTTACCAGTGGTCAGTGTGATATATAAGATATGGAAAGCAAAAGAACACATTGCTGACAACAGAAAACAGCAAAGACCCAGGGGACCACTGACAGCAGACCTTTGTGATCTTGCCAGAAGTCTTGGACAACAATTATATCAGTGCTTAATGATCATAAAATAACGCTTGAGCAAAGAGTCAGTACACTTGAAAGCAGATTGCAGGAAAAATGGGAGAAATGACCAGATAGAATTATTGGAACTGAAGAGTGAAGTAGCAAGCCTTAGAAGCAGAATGGATGAAGTTGAAAAGTGAAATTGGTACACTCAAAAGTTACAGTATCCAAATCCAGCAAGGAGGAAGAGGAAATTGAAAAGACAACAAGAAAAAAATGAATGGAATGTGAGGGAAATTGCTAGCAATGACAAGCAGAACAACTTCAGAATTACAGGGATTACAGATGGAAAAAGAGAAAAAGGAGGAGAAAAGTTAGTTTCAGAAATATGGGGGTGAAATGTGAGGGAAATTAAAACGTTCTCAAACAGCAGTTGAGGATGCGTTTGGAATCTTTTGCGGACATGAAAAGCCACATGTCAGAAGGAAGCATCCTGTGGGAAGCAGTTGAATGTCACATAGAGAAGTGGCAAGAAATCCCTTCAGATCAATAATTTCACTGAATGTCAAAAGACTAAACTCGCCCATACAACAACACAGAGTAGAAGGATGGGTCAGGAAATAAAACCCAATCTTCTGTTATTACAGGAGACACACTTAGACGCTTAGGCTAAGTAGAGGCGCAGGTCTGTCTGAAGACAATATAGAGGCTCGTGGCAGACAAAACAAAAGCAGGGTCAACCATCCTTGCATCTGACCAAATGCAAGCAAACTAAAGAATATGAAATAACGGGAGGACATTCCGTACTGGTTAAGGCATCAGTAGACCAAGAGGATTTAGCTCTCATCAACATATATGCACCAAGGGAAGGGACAGGGAAATTCACAAAGCCTAAGGGACCTGGACCTGAGGAAACGGGTAAGTGGCAGCACAAGAGTGGTGGTACCACAAGGCGGAGTTTTCCTGCTCCAGTGGGTTCTGGAGAGTTGTGTGAAAGATTCGCAGACAAAACTCGGCAGAGTCCGAGTTGCAGTTTATTATACAGATGCAGGCGATAGGTCCGGACCCCTCCCCAGATGGCCAGGCCTCTCCTCCCCCCGTGACTGACGTCACCTGCCCTGTGAACGGCTTCCCTGCCTGGCCCCTGGCAGACTCACAGAGGCGCGGTGACCTGGCACTGATTGAGTAGTCTAATACTGACTATGCATCTGTTGTTTCTAGGATCTTTTTCTGTAGAGTCTTTAGGATTTTCTAGATATAATCTCACATGTCATCTGGAAGAAGTGAGAGTTTGACTTCTTTTTTCCCAGTATTGATGCCCTTAATATCTGGTGTGCTTGATTGCTATGGTAAGGACTTCCAGTACCATACCAAATTGTGGTGAGCACCTGATCTTAGAGGAAAGTCTTTCCGTTTTTGGACCAATGAGTGTGATATTTGCTTTGGACTTGTGGAAAATGACTTTGACTATGTTGAGGAAAGTCCTTTCAAGTCCCATTTAATTGAGACATTTTTAAAATTAAGAATGTGTATTGGGGGGCTGGAGAGATAGCATAGCGGGTAGGGCGTTTGCCTTTCATGCAGCCGACCCGGGTTCAATTCCCAGCGTCCATATGGTCCCCTGAGCACTGCCAGGCGTAATTCCTGAGTGCAGAGCCAGGAGTAACCCCTGTGCATCGCCAGGTGTGACCCAAAAAGCAAAAAAAAACAAAAGAATGCGAATTGGATCTTGTCAAATGTTTTCTCTGAATCTTTTGATATGATCATAAAAATTGTTTTCCTTGTTTAGATATGGTATGTCACATTAATTGACTTGCATATGTAGAAACACCCTTGCAGTCCCTGGATGAATCCTGCTTTGTCATAGTATGTGTATTGTTCAGTTTGGTTGGCTGAGAGTTTGTTGAAGATCGTTACAGCCATATTCATCATGAATTTAGTTTAGAGCTTTCTTGCTTTGTGATGTCTCTGTTGGCTTTTGGTGTCAGTGTTTTGTCTCATAAAAACTTTAGGAGGATTGTCCTTTCTTCACATTCTGAGAGAGCCTGAAAAAGATTGGGAGGAGGTCTTCTTCAAAAGTTCGAAAGAACTCAGTAGTAAACCCATCTGCATCTGGGCTAGGGCTTTTGTTTTGGGAGACATTTAATTAGTTCTACTGTTTCATGGCATAAAGATTTTCAAAGTAATACCTGATGGTTCATAGATTTTCTGTGGTATCCGTTCTGATGTTTTGCCTTGAGTTTCTGATTCAGTTTACTATGGTTTTCTCTTTCTTTATAAATCTTGCTAATGGTTTGTCAATCTTGTTTACTTTTTCAAGAGCCAGCTCTTGCTTTGGTTAATCCTTTAAACTTTTTTCAGTTTCTGTTTCATTAATTTCTGCTCTAAGCGCCACTGTTTCCTTCCTTTTGCTTGCTGTATGTTTCTTTTCTTTCTCTTTTTCTAGGGGCCTTAGCTCTGCTGCTTGGTTAGTTAATGTGCTCCTTTCCCTGCTTCCTCATAAACACTTGGATCGCTATGAACTTTCCTCTTAAAGCTACTTTGGCTGTGTCCCTCATGTTTTAGTAGCTTGCATCTTATGTTCTAGCAGCTTGCATCCTCATTTTTGTTTGTCTCCACTGATCTTAAAAAAAAAAACTGATGTGGGCTGGAGCAATAGCATAGCAGGTAGGGCATTTGCCTTGCATGCAGCCAACCCGGCTGACCCGGGTTCGATTCCTCCACCCCTCTCGGAGAGCCCGGCAAGCTACCAAGAGTATCTCGCCTGCACGGCAAAGCCTGGCAAGCTACCCGTGACATATTCGATATGCCAAACACCGTAACAAGTCTCACAATGTTACTGGGCCCACTCAAGCAAATCGATGAATGACGGGAGGACAGTGACAGTGATTTACAAGATTGTTCATAATATAGTTGTTTCAGACATTTGATATTCCAACAACAATCTCACCACCAGTGTGACCTTCCTTCCACCAGTGTCCCCAATTTCCCACCCAAACCCCAAGTCTGCCCCCTTTGCAGATACACATTTGCTTCCTACTGCCTGTTACAACAACGTGACAAATGAAATTATCAGAAAAATAAATCAATGAAAGTCAGTTTGTGATCATTGTTGTATCTCACAATGGTGTTACTGAAGTCATTGTCAGAGGATTTACTGAGCTGGCTTAAAATTATTATGATCATTTTAGCTCACTGAGCCTGATGATCCTCAGATTTTCATCAAATTTGCTGGGCTCCTTCTGGGCTATTAGTACTGCATGCGCCAGGAACTGGAGAGCTGGGACTGTTTGGTGGATTGATGAGATTCACTTGTGGAGTAGCACCAGTTCTGTGGCACGGTGTCCGCTGTGGGTGGGGGCTTCTGGACCTTCCAGCAGGGAGGAAAGTCCCAGCCCCATTCCAAGCCCAGAGCTCTCAGCCCAGAGACCAGCAATCTGGGACCGTTAGCGCTTGGTATCTCTTTGAGACTGGTTGTGGAGCTGGGCCAATGATATGCTGGAGGATGTAGGGTATGGGTAGGGGCTGGGCTTTCAGGCAAGGAGGGGAATCTGCCCGCCCCCATTTTGAGTAGGCCCTGGAGTCCTCAGCCCAGACACCAGTCCAGCTCCAGGGCTCTGCCGGATCACCTTCTCAGGCACTGCTCTTCCTGTCCTCTGACCGTACCATCCTTTCTGTTTGTATGCCTAGACTTTAAATCACCATATTATTTTAAATCTTATTTTTCTAATGTTATTTAAATTCGGAACTTTCATTTACTTTTTGTATTTGGAGGTCACACTCAGCATTGCTCGAGGGCTACCTTGAAGCAGGTTCAAGGTCAGGGGTCCTGGGGGCACAGCTGGGTCACGGGGCACTCATGACCAAATGAGAAGGTTATTGTGTTTAAAAGTGTATCTTGAAACATCTGAAATTATTCATGTTAGTAGTAGTTACCTCAGATTACTTCTTAAAATGTATAATCTGGGTTATGAATAATGACCAATTTATTATCTTGACTGTGTCTTTGAATTGTAGCTAAACAGATTATTTCTTCTGCAGCAAAAGGAGATTTGGCTGATGGTGACTGATGTCACCTTGCAAATGCAGGATGGGGATGACACTCGCCTCCCTAAAACTCTGCTGGTCTGTGTCACTTCCTCGTGCGTGCTCAGTCCGGAAGTCCAAGAAGCACTTGCTGAAACTACCTCCAAGATCTTCCTCTTCAGGGATGCCCTGCAAGACCAGGGTATGCTTCCTTTTTCCTTCATTTTCTACGCAGGGATAGAGATGGGGGCCTCACTCATAGAAAGCAGGTGTTCTTCCACCGAGCTACACCCCTACCGAGGTATGCTTCTGTCTGTCAGCTTTGATCCATTGACCACTGGCCGGTGGCACCAAATGACCAGCGGCTCCTCTAGTGCTCTGGGCCTGCTAGCCCTTCAGAACCCTCGTACACCCTTGGTCTGTGGGGTCCATGGCTCCCACAGGCGTCCCTGAACTCATGGTCCAGACCTCAGACCCCACTGGCCCCTGTCATGGCCCCAGGTTGGAACCAGGTGCCCTAAAAGATGCCATCAGTCTCTCAAGAACTTTATGTTGATGACACACTCTATGCTGCAAAAAGTACCTCAAGCCTTTTCCTAGAATATCCCTTTTTAAAAGAAAACAACACAGAAACCTTGAACATTGTAAATCTGCGTATCTAGATCCGGCGGCCCCCTTTTCCAGGAGTTGGACTAGAGTCCTCTGTGTGTATTCTTTCTGATGTTAATATTACTGTGGTTTAATGTGCATGTCATGAAGTCGACCACTCTGAATTTGTCTGAGTCGCATCGTGCATGTTCTGCCCCAGCCGACTGAGGGCCGAGGGGTCCTGGTGCAGGTGCAAGTATCTCTGGCTCTGAGGTGGGCCCACACCCATGCCCTTCACGCACCGGATGCGTGAGAGTCGGGTGAAGATCAGGAGAGCTCATCGTTCCTTCAAGACTCGGTAACCTGCCGTTTCTCTGCCGGCAGGTCGGATCGTCTGTGTTGAACGAACAGTTCTCCTGCTTCACAAGTCCCTTCCAGGCCAGGCCTCTGGAGCTGGCTCCTGTGAGCTGCCTAGTCCCGTGAGGCTGGACGAGCTGAATTCTGTCACTCAGGTCAACTCCGTCTGCAGTGTTCAAGGTGAGTCATCATTGTCGGAGATGGTACTTTGTGTGTTTTAAATGGTGTGCAAACGTTTTTATTCGTTTCCTTGTTTATTCACCAGGACATATTTAACATCAGATGCATGATGATTTTTTTGAACAGCAAAAACTAGGATCGCATTTCTTTCTTTTATGTGCAGAGATTCAAACGTGCAGGGCATGTGGTTTATCATTGAGCTACATGTTCACCCCTAGCCCATTCGTAATTGGGGGCAGGAGAGGGGGCAAGGCCATGTGCAGCAGTTTTTATTGTAACTGTTGTGGCACTGTAGCACTGTCCTCCTGTTGTTCATCGATTTGCTCGAGCGGGCCCAGTAACGTCTCCATCATGAGACTTGTTGTTACTGTGTTTGGCACATCAAATACGTCACGGGGAGCTTGCCAGGCTCTGCCGTGCGGGCGAGATACTCTCGGTAGCTTGCCGGGCTCTCCGAGAGGGGCGGAGGAATCGAACTCGGGTCGCCACGTTGGCTGTGTGCAAGGCAAATGCCCTACCCGCTGTTGTGGAAAGAAAATAATCATTTGTTGACAAAGTGATATTGCTAATTGGGAAAAAGAGAAACTTTTGTTGACATTTATGATAATGGCCATTAAATTAAAGAGGGGGTGGGCATTACTTGTAAGTCAGACTAGAGAAAAGTTGAGTCCTAAACTTCAGAGGAGGAGGCCAGCATGATATGCAGTGGCCAGATGTTTGCCTCGCTCACCGCCAGCCTGGCTTCACCCCTGCATCCCTTAGGGTCTCCCAGGCAGCACTAGGAGCGGTTTCTGAGCAGAGCCAAGCATAAGTCCTGAGCATCCAACAGGTGTAGCCCAAAACCAAAATAAAAATAAATAAATACACTTCAGAGGGAAAAGTGGGTTTTTTGTTTGTTTGTTTGCTTTTTGGTTTTATTGTTTTTCATTGTCGTACTGGGGTTTAGAATAGAGTATTTTACTTTTAGCGCACCCATCACTGGAGTGGCACAGCTGTCACCAGAGCCACTTCCTGCCACCAGTGTCCACAGTCTCCACGGCACACCCACCCACGCCCCACGTCAGTTCAGTGCTGTAGAAAAAAATCTTCAGTTCCAATGACTTTCTGTTTTTTGTTCCCTTACTAGATTTCTTTTTCTTGTCCCACATAGGGTGAGATCTTTTCTTTTCTTCCCCTTTTTTCTTTTTTGGACCACGCCCAGCTGTGCTCAGGGCTTAATGCCGGCTTTGCATCACTCCTTCTGGGCTCAGTAGACCCTATGTGGTGCGACAGATCGAACCCAGACGGCCACATGCAAGGCGAGTGCCCGACCCACTGTTCTATTGCTCCAGCCCTTGAGAGATCTACTTTCTTTTTACTGTGGAGGTATTGACACCTACACACGTATAGATAGAGACATACTCCTGAAATTCCACAAAATTATAAATCAGTAAATTTATCATTGTCTTCAAAAACCATATTTTTTCAGGTATACAAATTATTTTTAATAATTCTGTGCTCTTTCAACTTTTACATGAAATAGACAAATCCTACAAGAGTAAAATTTATCAAGAATGAATAGAATTTTGGGCTGGAGCGATAGCACAGCGGTAGGGCATTTGCCTTACAATCGGCCAACATGGCCGACCTGAGTTCGATTCCTCCACCCCTCTTGGAGAGCCTGGCAAACTACCGAGAGTATTTCATCCGCACGGCAGAGCCTGGCAAGCTACCCGTGACGTATTCGATGTGCCAAACACAGTAACAACAAGTCTCATGATGGAGACGTTACTGGGCCTGCTCGAGCAAATCGATGAACAATGGGAGGACCGTGACCGTGACCATGACCATGAAAAGAATTTAGAAAATTTTAAGGGGAGGGACTGGAGAGATAGCACAGTGGGGAGGGTGTTTGCCTTGCACATGGCCAACCCGGGTTCGATTCCCAGCATCCCATATAGTCCCCTGGGCACCGCCAGGAGTAACTCCTGAGTGCAGAGCCAGGAGTAACCCCTGTGCATCGCCGGGTGTGACCCAAAAAGAAAAAAAAAGGAAAATTTTAAGGGGAAAGGGAATAGATTTATAAAAATATAAATGTTTTATCCTAGGAAAGAGAATATTGACTTTATGTTAGAAAATGTTATAGTATCTGCATTAAAAGATTGTAGTAAAAATCTCTGGATGTTAAAAAAGAAACAAAAGCAATGATAAGATATAGAACATTTTCATTTGTTACTGAAAAATATAGTCTCTTGACAAGGTAGGAGTGAACAAACTTTCTTAATCTTGGAGAGGGCAACCCTAAGTACCATGAGTGAGTGCCATACCTTTTTTTTTAATTTTTATTAGTGAAACAGCATGAGGTACAGTTGTAGACTTACAGATTTTTGTGCTTGGGTTTCAGTTATACAATGATCAAGTACCCATCCCTCCACCAGTGCCCATAATACTGTTGTTACAGCATCCAGTGTGACCTTCCCTCCATTTTGCCCCCATTTTCCCAGTGGTCCCCACCCGAGCCTGCCCCCAGGCAGAAAATAATTTCTTTCATATTGCTTGTTATAAGTAAATGAATCACTGTCACTGTCACTGTCCTCCCATTGTTCATCGATTTGCTCGAGCGGGGAGGGCATTTGCCTTGCATGCAGCCAACCCAGGTTCAAATCCCAGCATCCCATATGGTCCCCTGAGCACCACCAGGAGTAATTCCTGAGTGCAGAACCAGGAGTAACCCCTGAGCATCGCCAGGTGTGACCCAAAAAGCAAAAAAAAAAAAAAAAAAAAAAAGTAAATGGCTAATGAAAAATTATCAAGAAATACTTCAGTAAAAGAAAATTGTGAAAATTGTTATATCTCACCTTAGTGTCACGAAGTCCTTGTGTGTGTGAGGGTTTCCAAAGCCGTTGTTGCTAGTTGAGCCTTCCGTGTTGTCTTGTTTGCGTCTGTACTGTTTTCCCACCTGTCTGCTGCTCTCCTACTGGGTGGTCACTACTGTCAAATTTGGGAGAGTCCAGGGTCTGTAAAACCGGGCAGCTGAGTTCACATGCACGGTGGTGGCTGTAGGGCGTGGGTGTGGGTAGGGTAGTGGTGAGGGCTAGAGTTGGGGGCAGGGCGCAGAGGCTGTGCACCCAACTCAAGACGACCCTGGAAGTTTCAGCCCAAAAAGTGACATACCTGGAATTTTCGTCGATTTGTGTCTCTGCAGAGATGAGTCGTGAGGCAGCCAAGTTGGGCCATTGGCATGACAGCAGCTGTGGGTGTGGGTGTGGGTGCGGCGGCGGAACTCTGGCAGGTGGGGGCCTAGCCTGGCCCTCCCAGGTGCACCCCGGTGCCTTTAGACAGGGTGCCAGGGTGCCCATGACTTACAGCGGGCTTGTTTTAAACTTCTCCCAAGATTTGGTCGTGAATTTGTGAAGCTGGGCCAATGGGTGAGTTGGAAGGTGGCTCCTGAGGCTTCCAGAGTACGGGGCTGGGGGAGGGCCGCCCACCGCCATCCAAGAAGACCCCAGGGTTCTCAGCTGGTATTTCCACGGCGTTGGTGTTTCTGTAGAGATGGATCGTGAAGCAGGAGCAGGGCAGCTGCCGGCTCAGGCTAGCACCAGTCTGGGCGCCCCGGAGTGTTCAGCCCTGAGACAGGGTGCCCTGAATTAGAGCAGCCCGGTCTCCATCTCCTCTGAGATGTCGCCATCCATCTGTGAAACACACCGACGCATGATAGTACATGGTAGAGACTGGGGGATGTGTCCAAGTTTGGCTCTTTAAGAGAAGCTCCTTTAATACTTCCTGCAAAACTGGTTCCAAGACTATGAATTCCCTGTGTTTTTGCCTGTCCCTGAAGCTCTTTATTTTTCGCTCAAATCTGAATGATAATATAGTTGGATAGAGCGTTCTGGGGAGGTGCTCGTTTTGTCGAGTTTTTGTGCTGTATCCCTCCATCTCTTCCGGCTCAGAGGACTTTATTTGGTACATCTGCTGTGCATCTTCCGGGCTTCCTTTTATATGTAAATTCTCCTTTCGAGCTTGCTGCTTTAGTATTCAGTCTCTATCTTTGGCTTTTAATAATGTGCTCTGGGGTTTTTCTGCTAGAGTTTATTTTTTCTGGGACCCTTCGGTCCTCTTGGTTCTCGGATTTCTCAACTCTGGACATTCTTATGTGATTTAATGAACTGGGTCTTCATTGGATTCTCTTTTCTGGTTCTTGGGAACGCGAATGATTCTAACCTACTCCTCCTGAACTCATCACATAGTTCTCTGATGAGTGTTCATCTCTTTTCAGACTTTTTCCCATCATTTTCTGGAGGGTTCCCTCCACCTCATCTTGGAACTCCTTGGTCTTTTTCTGAGCTGCTGCTGTTCTGCTGCTCAAAGCTTTAGTTGAGTCTTGTTCTATCACCTCCTAAGGTTTTCATCTGTCGTTCCTGATCAGAGTTTCCTCGTTTCGGATCTCCTGGTTTTCTGTGCCTTGTGGATCTTGGCATCCTCTGAGAGTTTGCAGAGCTGGTTGGTGCTGGAGTGTCAGCGTTCCACTCTCAGGGCTTGGTGCTTTTACATCCTCCCACTGTGTCTGCTGTCACCTGCTGTGCTCGGTAAACGGGGTCTTGGGGTCCTCCCTGGGAGACTCATTTTCTCCCAGTGAGAAGAAGGTGAGAAAGCTGAGGAGTGGGTGTGGAGGTGGGCGCCGTGAGATGGTGAGGTCGGGTGTGGAGACTGCCACGACCTCGCGGGAAAGGACAGGAATCGGCCTCCAGTTGCAGAGAAGGCCCTGGGGATGTCTCCTGGCAGAGACCCAGGCCGTGCTCACTCTCCTGCCGCTCACATTCTGAGCCAGAGCCGAACAGGCTGAGGCTATGCCTGGCGTGTGGTAGCCGGGGCTGATGCTGAAGCGACAACTGAGCACAGAAGGACCTTGCTTTTGTACGAGGAATTGAACCCACAGATCCAAGCATGTAGCCCACATCCTCAGAACCCCTGCCACCCCCAATGTTCATTTTTTAAATTTTTTTAAATTTTTATTAGTGAGA